TACATGGCTACCAAGTAGGAACTGTACGGGGCAAGGCAGAGAAAGCTAAAAAAGGAAGGTAAACTTGTGCACCTGACAAATAGAAAGAATAAAGGATCAAAATGAAACGCAAGCTATAAGAGTATTGAGAAATTCCTAAAAACCAAAAAGTGATTTGGAAGCACAAAACTTATACTTAATGTTGCCCAGTGTCATGATGGGCTGAGAACTTTGTGGCTTCCTAAGTAAGAAAATGCCGTATATCAATTTTTTTTTTTTTTTTTTTTTTTTTTTTTTGGAGACAGAGTTTCGCTCTTGGTACCCAGGCTGGAGTGCAATGGAGCGATCTCGGCTCACCGCAACCTCCGCCTCCTGGGTTCAGGCAATTCTCCTGCCTCAACCTCCTGAGTCGCTGGGATTACAGGCACGCGCCACCATGCGCAGCTAATGTTTTGTATTTTAATTGAACATATTACTTTTTTTCAATCTCCCCCTCCCCCAGAAAAAAATAGGAACTTATTTTTTTCGGAGTGGGGAAGAGGAAAGGAGATTATGGGAAATGGTTGGAAATGGTCGTTATATTAGCAGTATTTTTGTTGTTATGATAAACTTCGTGTTTAAACACGATGATAACCCATTAGTTGCCAAGAGGGAATAAGGAATTAACTTTCGCTTTTTAGATTTTTTGCTTTGTGTAGTTTTTATTTTGATACTTGCCTAACACGCATGTGCTGTAAAAATAGTTAACGGAAATATCTTGAGATGATGAGTAGCTTTGTTTAAGGTCTTATGAATTTTTCACGAAGAATGGAAGCATAATTGTTAAGAACACGTGTATTAAATTCATGTAAGTGGAATAAAAGTTTTATGAATGGAATTTTCAGCTACTTTCTTTACAGTTTTTCATGTAAATTAGTATTTTGGTTCTGAAACATCTCTAAAGAAAATTGTGCATTTTTTGAAGCTGTAGCTTTTGACTTGGAGTTTGTCAAAAGGCCTGTGTAGGAATATAATTCATTGCCAATTTAATTATGTGTGTGTGAGTGCAAATGCTTATATAACCAAAATTTATCAATGTGCTTTTCCCCTGCTCAGATTAGTTTATTTGGGTAGTGATAATCACAATGATGGAAATTTGAATTGCCCATGTCCAGTTGGAGAGTTAAGTAGGAGGTTAGTATCTGAGCATGAGTCTTAAGGGAAGCCTATTTGACATTTCTTGTCATAATATTTCAAGCTAGATATTAAAAGCTGTCTTCAAAGAAAAGAGGTTTTCTTCTCTGGTGTTGCTTTAAATAGATTCATACACTAGGAAATTAATCTACATTTTCCAACCCAAATTATTTGAAAGACATTAAACTTGGAATTCTCTACAGAATATTAGAAGTGAGGTAGCTGGGCACAGTGGCTCACACCTGTAATCCCAGCACTTTGGGAGGCTGAGGAGGGCGTATCACCCAAGGTCAGGAGTTCTAGAACAGCCTGACCAACATGGAGAAAAGCCGTCTCTACTAAAAAAAATAATAAAATAAAAAATACAAAAGTACACGATTAGCCACGTGGTGCATGTCTGTAATCCCAGCTACTCAGGAGGCTGAAGCAAGAGGGTCACTTGAACTTGGGAGGCAGAGGTTGCTGTGAGCAGAGATCTCGCCATTGCACTCCAGCCTAGGCAGCAAGAGTGAAACTCTGTCTCAAATAAAAGAAAAAGAAGTGAAGTAGAGGAAAGAAGAAAGTTGATCAGGGAGAGCAGATTCTCCAAAATGTAATTCTTGTTTTGTCACATTGATGTAGCAATTTTTTTTTCGCTTGGAGCATTATTATTATTATTATTATTATTACTATTTTATTATACTTTAAGTTCTGGGGTACGTGTGCAGATCGTGCAGGATTGTTACATAGGTATACATATGCCATGGGGGTTTGCTGTGTCCATTCCCCCGTCATCTACATTAGGTATTTCTCCTATGATGTAGCAAAATTTTAAACTATTTAAGTGTAGCTCCTCTTGGTTTTTTCCTTATTTGCAGCCACTTGACTGATCACAGCTAGAGAAGAAAACATAACTATTTTGGTTTATTCCATTTAGCACTCATTACTGTTAAATTTTGGCTGATGTTCAGTGTTAACTGCCATTTCTATTGCATTGTTTTTGTCCAATGCATAGTCAGAAATGACACTAGCATATTTTTTCTTATCAAACTTTCAACACCTTCTCTCCCTTGTTCACTTGTGCTGGTAGACTCACTTTCTCTATGCTTCTGATGAAATAGAAGCAATCACCAATCACAAGACGTTTTCCACAAGCTCCCACCATTGCATAGGCCTGTACACTTGCATCTCTGCCCTCATGTTTGACTTCTGTCAGTAGAGAGGAATTACTCATGCTTCAAATGACAACCTGTCCACCTGAGTTCTAGATCATCTTTTTCACCTATTTAAGGATAGTGCTCCAGGAATTCTATCTTCATTTTCTTAAACTAGCAACTTTTTTATTGTCTCTTTGATCATCCCCATTGGAGAACAAATGGGCCATAATCACTCCCATCACATGAAATTAAAAAGGGTAAAGGACCCACTTCTCGCTATATTACCACATTTTCATTTCTGTCTTAATAGCAAAGATCCTTGAAAAGAAGTCTAAACTCTAAGTCCTCCCTTCCAATACATTAATGAGCGCAGAGGCAATTAATACTGGTCTCTGTCTCCATCTCCTTAATCAGCATGTGGTATAGCTAATCTCTATTTCTTTGAAATGCTGTAAGATATCACTCTACCCTTCTGGGTTTCTTCTTTCCTCATGTATCATTCTTCCCCTTATCACCCTTATCTCTGAGACCTCTTCACATCCATGTGCCCAGGAGTCAATCTTGGAACATGTTCTCTGTCTTCACCCACACGTTGCATGGTCATATGCATCCTGTTGCCTTAAATTCCAACTGTATGCTGAAAACTAAATTTATATCTTCAGCCTGGATAATTTCCCTGCATTTGATCTCTTATACCCATTAACCTACCAAATAATCCCACAGCAATGTCTAGTAGATAGGAGAAATCCAATTACAGATCCCTACCCCTATTCCTATACACACAGACACAGGCATGCACATGTATTTAAGTCACAAAGACTCCATTCTTCTAGGTGGTTAAACTAAAAACTCTTGGCACAAGTCTTGATTCCCTTCTGCTTCTCATGTCCACCTCTAATCCATAAGAAATTTTCCAATTTTACCTTCAAAATATATTAAGAATTCTATCTTTTTTTTTTAACCATCTCGACTGCATCACCTCAGTCCAAACCATTGTTTATTTTCCTGGGTTATTTCATTAGCCTTTGAACTAGTATCGCTACTTCTGCCTTTCTTCTACACTTGATCATCAACTTAGAATAATTTTCAAAAAACATGAATGAAATTATGCCATTTCTCTTACATATAGATAGATAGATGATAGATAGATAGATGGATGGATAGATAGAGAGATAATGATTGTCCTTCTTCTTCACAGTAAAAACTGGAGTCCTCCCCATAGTTTCCAAAACTCTAACCAAGTTGGTACTTTTCTGAATTTTTGCCTAACATCCTTGAAACCATTTTTTCTTGCCTCCTTACTGGTTATCTAATTGCCCATTCATGCTTCTGCCTCTGGGAGTTCTCATCTGCTGTTTCCTCAGTCTGTAATGCCTCTCTCTCCTATGGAAGTGTCCAGATGGTGGCCCAAACACCTATATGTGCTTTGTCAATCTCACCATAAGCAAGTTCAAGACTCTACCTGGTTTATCTCATAGGGGAAATCTGCCCTTCCATCATCAGTCAAAGTGCACAGCCAGTGCAATGCAGCCTCTAAGAGGAGCAGCATTCAAGGACCCAGGCCCCTCTGACCAGCATACTCCCATTACTTTCCTCCTAGCCCAGGCATTTCCTTTTTTTTTCTCTCCCTGGGGCCATCAGCTGAGGTCTTCTTTAAGTGCCTCTGCTGAGAACTCCTCATTGGCTCTAGTGGATGAACTTTAAAGACATTTTTTTCCAACTCTGACTCTGTACTGTGTACTTTTTCACTCCAGGCCTCACCCATTCAGCCTAGCTCCCTAATCCATGAAACTGCAGGAGCTTTTGGGAAGCCTGGTGCACTCCTTCAACAGTAAGAGGACTCCCACATGTGTGCTAATCCGCCCTACTCTGTACCTGTGTGCCATTTCCCGGGTGAAATGGAATGGGGGAAATTAGAGCCTTCTCCAGATTTAGCCTCTGACTCATACTTTTGCAAGGAATGACTAAAGGATTGATTCTTTTTGTTGTTGTTTTGTTTTGTTTTTTGCTTTTTCTTTTCATCAGCTACTCCAACAACTGGTAGTTCAGGTCTATCAAGCTCAGTTGAGCTTCTGAAACTTATCATTTGAACGGTTCAAGTCTTTATTCAAATGTCGCTTCCTAATATAGTTTTCACTGAAGAAAACACTTAAGATTATTAGTTCCACCCCAAATTCCCTATATTTTTACCCTGTTTTATTTTTCTTTATAGTAAAGAAAATAAGAATTAGAGTCAGGGTTTATTTTGACTATAACTGATAGGAATGGTTAATGTATTTTTGGTGACAACTAAGGATAAGAAAATAAAATAAAATGATGTTTAAGTTCTTTTATTTCTAGGGGACACACAAGTTCTGTTTGGGCTTTGTTGAGTTTGAGGTGCATATTATACATCCATCCCCTGGAGAAGCAGAGGAGGAAGTTGGATATGCAAATGTGGATCTCAAGGGAGGAGTGGTAACCAGAGAAATAAGTATATGAGTTATCAGTCTTGCTTGTGACATGTAAGAGGCTATGACTAGATAAAATCACTGGCAGAGATGGTAGAAAGCATTCCAGGACTGAACCTTGGGGACACTTAAATACAGAGGGGAGGAAAAATGAGAAAAATCCAGCAAACAAGGCTAAAGGAGAAACCAAAAACACAGAAGGTGATCTAGAAGTGTGATATGTAGGAGACCAAGTGTAAAACATTTCAGTGAAGGAGTAGTCAGTTGTACCAAAAGCAGCTAAGAAATTGAAGGAGATGAGATAGAATTGAATGCATGTTAAAAAATTAGCATGCATCTAAGAAATTATTTAAGCAGTTTAAAAAGGAGATTTCCTTGATTTGATTTCTATCTGTATCATTGTACTCCAATTTAGAATAAAATTATACACATTGTCTGGCAATAGAAAGCCAGTCATTACGCACTGTGAACTAACTTCCACCAATCTTCTTCTCTGTTAGGTCCATGTTCTGAAGGAAATTTGGATTTTAACTTGTAAAATTAATACTAAAACATACCCTACCCCAGATTAAACAATCTATACTTTTACCTGTTTCTCGGATGTTTCCTGAATCAAGATCTAGAGAAGCATGATTCTATTCAAATAAAAAAGAACAGCAGTAAGATGATTACACAAAAGGCTGCAAAGAAATACGGAAATGCAAGCAATGCAGAGAAACTAATAAATAAGCACTTGCATACAAAGGAAATTTTATATCTACAAGAGCGTATTGTTTACTCCAAAGTAAAGTTCATGCTATCACTCAGCATGAAGTGCAGTTGTTATTATATTGCAGGTGGTGGTGTGTGGTGTTAATCTTGGGATGGTAACATTAAAATATATAGTCTAAGCAAATTAATGAGACTCAGATAACAACTCAAGAACATAATTGGGCTTATTAAAGTATAGCCTTCTCCCTTCCCTCCCTTCCTCCTTCCCCTTCCTCCCCACCTCCTCACCTCCCCACCTCCCTCCCTCCTTCCTTCTTTCTTTCCTTCCTCCCTCCCTCCCTCCCTCCCTTCTTCCTTCCTTCCTTCCTTCCTCCTTCCTTCCTTCCTCTCTCTCTTCCTTCCTTCCTTCCTTCCTTCCTTCCTTCCTTCCATTCCTCTCTTTCTTTCCTCTCTCTCTCTTTTTCTCTCTTTCTCATTTCAAATGAGATAGCAAGCTAAATCTTTGGCCTAGGTCCAGATTTGATCCCCAAATAGTTTTATATTCCTTATATCTATAGCAGCTGCTCATCCTCTCTACATTATGCTCCTTCCACTTTGCATAGCGGGCCGTATCGAAGTATCCAGCTTTGTACCGAGGCTTTCTGCAGTTACAAATTAAGACAGAATGTGTCTGGAAAGCATCAGAGCACACATTCTGCTCTCAGTACTGTCTCTGCATGCTTTTAAACTTTGCAGCATCAACTCTCGGAACTACTGACTTCATCTTGCTGAGAATTTTCTAATGCTGAAATTTATAGGTGACCATGTGTGGCTTCCATTGCTAGTCAATTGCAAATTAGAACAACTAACAAATATCTCAAACTAGAGTTTGTTTTGTTATTTGCTATCGGAAGTTGACCTTTACATTCCGTGAATACATTGTTTATGCATTTTATTTTCCATCTTTATAAAACATCTGGTGAAATAATTCAATAATTATTTTCTTATGGCAATAAAGCTGAATAAATATTCAGCATATTTGCTAACTAAAATGATGGTTTTCTTTTACTTTTAAAAAAAGTCCTGTATCTACCTCTGGGAAGAAAGATTTCCAATTTAGGGTAGAGCAGTGACTCCGGTTAATTTCATGCAAACAATTTCCTCCTTTTATCTCTATATATCAGTCCTAAATTAATACAATAGGTGCTCAGCAGCTAGCTTGGTTACACATTGATCTTGACCAGCTTGTTTACAGTGTTTTGGCAAGTTGCTGATGTACTTCTCCCTGGGGATAGAGCAGGGGTTAATTGCTGTTAAACTCTCAGTGCCAAGTAATGGTTCAGCCTCTCTGCTACATTAAAGATGACACTAATAAGGAAAGAGTGCAGTGGATTGCGCTATGTTGAAAATTGGACTAGTGGTGACAGAAACTTGGAGCAGAGCTGATGTAATAGGAAGACCATAATGTAATTATAACTGCTGAACATGTGTCGTACCAAGTTAAATGATACATTAACGAATCAAAACAGGTGATGAAGTGTTGCTCTTACAGCGGATAGAGGTGCTTTCAAGGTTAGATTGCCATTAATTTAATAATCTGTGATATGGATATTCTTCAAATCACAAATGAAATCAACCTTAATGCTTCAATACAGTATTGCTTCTTGAGTTTCAAATAGACAGGATAGAAGAAACAAAGCAAAAGTGAGCAGAGTTAAATGCAACTCATTCTGTGTTTAATTTTGTAGGAGCAGGTTTTACATTGTAAGGTGAGTGGTTGCCCAAGGCCTTCTTCTTGTCCCAGTAGCCTACTTGATCATTTTAATCTACAGATGGCCAGCCAGTAACTCGCAAGGGAACATAGACCTTTAGAAGGAAAGAATTACTTTTTTCAAACAAGCCATTATATTTTATCTATAAATAATATTTTAATAAGATTCATTCTAAATTCACAACAGAATATAAAACTGTCCCTGAAATCTTCTAATCTGGTACCTTGTAATTGTGTTCTAAGAATTTGCAAAGTTTTCAAACCTATTTTCTTACAGATTTTTAAATTAATTTAAAAACTCATAAATGATAACAGATCTATTATTCAGTGTCCATGATTTTTAATTTTTTGCCTTAATTAAAAAAACACTGTCATGATCATACTGAATTTATTTGTCATTGTTAGGATACAAAATAATACAATATTTTTAGTTGTACTTGGCATGTAAGGTCTCAGATTTATTTTAAACAATTATTAATTTTATGTTTATTTTTAAATATTATGGAATCTCAGTATATTATTCTATTGGCACCTATGAGATATTTTTAGATGTATACATATTTATCCATCTACATATATACATATATCATCTACATATTTATCCTTCTACATATGTATTTCTTATATATACCTATATAAGAAATATAAGCAATTTATTAACAAAAAAAATTTAAATGTTGTACCTATCGTATGCTGATTTCCATCATATAATGTACAATTTAATTTCAATTTTGCCATATATTATACTTTGTAGTGACAAGTAGTTATTGTTGTTGTATGGTATTTTACCAAATGATTGAAACCACTTCTAAAGTTTAATTAGTTGCCGTGAAGCAACTAATCTTATAATAGTAGCTATTATATTATTATAAGAAACTGGAAAATAGATGGATGAATTAAAAAGTAATCCTGCCATATCTGCCTTGAACATATTAGCTATAAAATTTGTTTTTACACTAGAGATCCAGTTTTAATTTGATATCTGTGCATATTCTCAAGACAAGCAGATTTGGATACTATTTGTTTTATTATTATTAATGGCATTAATAAGAACACATGCTATCAATTTTCTATTATTTAGAAAAAATAGTTTTGTAAGAACTAATTTTAATCATTTTAATACATAGCCAGGCAGCCTGTAATTGCCCTGGAAATATAGAACCTTAAAAGCATGGCCGGGTACAGTGGCTCAAGCCTGTAATCCCAGCACTTTAGGAGACCAAGGCAGGTGGATCACACAGAAATTGGAAAAACAAGAGCATCAGCAGTGCCCAGTGTGAAATGACAGCTGGAGAGCTCTACCTTAAATATTCTAGAAAGTCCATGACCCTCAAAGATCTTGCACTAACTTATGGTGGGTTAAGCCTCCCTAGAAAACATCTGAATTAGTTCAGTCATGGTGGCTCATGCCTGTAATCCCAGCAATTTGGGAGACTGATGTGGGTGGATCACAAGGTCAGGAGTTCAAGACCAGCCTGGCCAACATGATGAAACACTGTCTTTACTAAAAATACAAAAATTAGCTGTCATGGTGGCGTGGCCTGTAATCCCAGTCACTTGGGAAGCTGAGGCAGGAGAATTGCTTGAACTGGGACCTGGGAGGTGGAGGTTGGAGTGAGTCAGGATCACACCACTGTACTCCAGACTGGGCTACCAAGTGAGACTCTGTCTCAAAAAAAAAAAAAAAAAAAAAAGAAAGAAGAGAGAGAGAAGGAAAGAAATGAAAGAAAGAAAGAGAGAAAGAAAGAGAAAGAACATCTGAATTGAAAGTGTTTGTTAACTGGTTAAACAGTAGCTCAGAGAAAACTTATCTTAGCAGATATAAATGAGGCACATTATACACTTGCAACTGAGAGGTGAAATCCATTCCTACTGTATATTGAGGTCTAATTTTATACCAGGAATTATCCTAAGTACTGAGTATATATTATCTCATTTAATCTTTAAAGGTGAACAGCATGTTTCCAGATTACAGATATAAGATTGAAGTCCAGAGAGATTAAATATATTGTCCAAATCACACAGCTAGTAAGCTGCAGAGATGAGATTTGAATCTCAGGCTGTCTGACATCAGAGCCTCACCATTAACCAGAACACTTAATTGCTCCCAAAGAATAAGGAATAATGTAGAAGTCACGGTTTATATCTCGGAGTAATTGACATAATTTAATTATAAATTATTCTGTAGAAAACACCCCCTTATAACTTTAAATAAATGGTTGTATCACTCAGAAACTCCTTTATATTCTTTCTAGTCCCATTTGAGAATTAAGCATTGCAGAACCACTCTGATATTCTATAAAGATGTGTGTCTTTCTTTAAATGACAACAGATATTTTTCTGTGTATTATTGATTATTTAGGGGTTCAGCAGCTAAGGTCATTTGTTTATTTATTTCACCAATCATTTAATAAATGCTTATTTTGTGCCAGAAGGTGTGCTTGCAGTGAACAGCCAAGATTGAAGACCTCAACTTTAAAGGAACTAGCAGTCTCTAATGGAAAGGAAAAGAAATTCGTTAGAAAATACAGAATTAACTGAAAATTGAAAGGATGGTGTTGATGTACAGACACCACATGAAGTAAAAACTTATTTCAACAATCTTGAGTTTGGTGTGGGATCTGGATAAACTGAGACAAAAAAGAGAGAAAGAAACAGATGGAGATGACAAACAGAGAGAGATGAATGGGGGAGGGAGTATTTTAATAAATCTCAACCTTCTTCTTAACGACTGAGCTAAATGATAAACATCAGGAAACATATTACCAAGTATGGTATTATTGGAGTAACATAAATAATACTGATAGAATTTAGAATGTTTGAGGATTAATAGAAAAATTCAGGTTTAGAGAAAAAGAGGGGCAATCATTATTTTATCGAAGGTAGACAAAAGTCAATGAAAGATTATTTGTAAAAGAAGGCCTTACTTAGATTTGAAATTTGTAAATATACATAAAGATCACTGTCTCAGAAGTGTGAGAAATGGCTAAAAATGAATAAATGGGAGAGTAAGAAAAATATTGAGAGGGTTGGAATAATGATACCATAATTATGAAAAATGAATGAAGGCATCACACATGGATCTTGAGAAGAGGAAGCCACCTTGGAAGATGCTAAAATGTAGGACTTACAGGATGTGTATAATTAATTTCAGGAGATAAGAAAAATAAAAAATCAAGTTTGACTGTCACAATCCTCTCACAGGCAATTTAGTGACCTTTCTTTAAAACTAGAAAATATTAAACTGGGGGGCAGCCAATTGGGGAAAGAGTATGGAAATAAAATAGAACATCCAAAATGAACTTGATGGTACCTCAGAAGTGAAGTAAATAGATAGAATTCGTAGTGATCCAGGTACCCATGAGTAAGAGAATGAGACCAAAGCCTAGGGTCACTACTACTCAACAGATGGGTAACCTGAAAATGTCTTACTACAAGGGAAGGAGAGTTACTTCTGAGAAGGCAGAGAAAAGTCAATAATATCAAATGAAAGCGTTAAGTAATATATCGTTAGGTAATATATTACCTAAAAGTTACCATTGACTTTTATCACCAGAAATTGATTACTGTCTGACGAAAGAAGGAGAGTGGCAGAAGCTACTCTATAGGAAGTAAAGAATGAGAGATAAAGATGTGTATTGCACATGCGTACACCACTAGGAACTATATTGTATTTATTAAGAAAGGAGAAATTAAATGTGGGGCTAAGATAGGGTTGAGAGGAAATTTTAAGTTTAAATAAGGAAGAAACTAGACATTCTTTGCATGAAAAAGAAAAAGAATGAGATAAGAGGAAGAAACAAAAATATAGTGCAAGAGTAAGTGAGCTATTTATATGATTGGGTACAGTCAAAGGAGAAATGTAAACTTTCAGACATGAGATAGTGAATTCTTCCGTGAAAACTGAAAGGGATCATGAATGATTCCTTGTAGAAAAGTATAAACTTTTCTTCCTGTCAAACTTTATTGTTTACTTGTTTGCTTTTCTGTGAAGTAGAGGATGGGATGAACGTTGTTGTGTATAATGTTGAAAATTATGAAACAGAAGACTTGAGGAAATTGGTAATCTAATTATAATAGCAGCTGGGATTGTGTTAGAAGCATTTAATTAAAAACATAGAGAAAGCTCACAAGAGAGCATTGGGGAAGTGGCTGTATTTTAGTTTCAGAAGGGAAGTAAAAAAATCCTTCTCAGAACCAACAGGCCTATAAGAGCCAGTGCAAATTTTGATTGGTTTCACTTTTTTTTCCTATTTTTAAAACTTAATTTTATGTTTTCTCCCTTTTATGTAGTATTTGATTATTTTAAAAAAAAGGATTCCTTGGTCCTCAGGCTTTTTAAGAACAATAGATAAAGCTAAAGATGAAGATCTGAGGCACTAAAACAAATAAATGAGAGCATTCTTGTGCTGTTTAAGAGCTGTCTGAAATCAACTTGGAGAGTTATATAAGCAGATCTTAGTTTATAAAGATTGCCCCAAATCAAACAGAGTATGTACAATAATTCACCGAAAATTGCTCCTGAGTTAATTGCATGCTACTGCTGACCACAAGGAAACACAGAAAAGAAAATCCCCAAAAAATCTCGAGTCAGCAATTTCTGGCTAACGTCTCCCTGGTTTATGTTGCTCTGTCTATTTAATTTTCTTTTTCAAGATGGCATTCAGAGTGATATTTCATTTTATGATTTTTTTTAGATGATTCATGTATTAAGTTTATCAAACAATTTGTTGGGTTTTGAGGTCAATTTTTAAAATAAGAAAATCTAAATAATACTTGAAAAATTCTGGGCATGCATCATTAATGAAGGTAACACAATCCAAAATGAACAGTTGCTATCACTTTTTATTTATGCAACACCTTTTCCCAAGTTTTTTTAAGTATGATTTTATTTTTAATTGATATACATTTGTGATGTTTGAAAACATGTATTATACATTGCGGATGATGAAATCAGGCTAACTAACATATCTATTCCCTAAGTGTTTTATTTTGATCATCATTATTGTTATTAAGGCATTAATTGTTGTATCTGCTCTTTAAGGTTTCAAGTTATATAGCTGGGCTTAGTTTTATGATAATACCTATGATGACAAACATTATATGGGATATAGTATTAGCCAGGGGAAGTTTAGACAAATATTCTTGAACCCGTTGACCAATTCTTTGTTGCCTTCTCCTGCCTACCCTTCCCAGCTTCCAATGACCGCTATATTCTGCTCTCTAAATATTTCACAGGAGTGAGACGATGAGATTTCATTTTCTGTGCCTGGTTTATTTCACTTAACACAATGTCCTCCAACTTTATGCATATTGTTGCAAATCATGGGATTTTATTTGGTATTATATCTGACTTTTCTAGTGTGTGTGCATGTGTGTGTGTGTGTGTGTGGTAAACCAAAAGTAAAATTTTAAGCCCCCAAGCAACTGAATGGATCCCCCTCTCTGCCAAGGGTATCCATCTCCAAAGATACCTGAAAAACTGGGCTGTGAGGGGAAGCGGTAGGGATTGGACGTGCCTCATTATGTCCTACTCCGTTTGGAAATTAGACACAATTAACCAGCATTAACATTAAAATGGAGATCTTAAGACTGACCAAACAAAATATTTGTAGCAATAAGATACCAAATTCCGGTCAGACTCTGGTATAGCATCACATGTCAGATAGTGAGCCCTGAAGGAAATCAATGTATTTTAACCCAAAATATATTTCTTTGATATGTTTTGAAATGTCCTTGCAAAGCTGTCTCTTGTGGGGGAAATTTACATTTTGTGGAGAATCTTCATCCCTTACTGGATCTTTTCCATATCGTCTGACACCTTTTAAGGTATAAAAAGAGACTTTCAGATCTAACCTCTCTGAAGCCTGCTACCTAGAGGCTGCCTCTGCATGATAACCACCTTAGCTTCTACACCCTATGCCCCACTGCGGATCTTACCTTAACTCAGGCTGACTTTAACTCTTCAAGCAGTGCTTAACTCTATCAGTCAATTTCCAATCAGGAACTTTTTGAATCCACCTATGACCTGGAAGGCCCCATTTCCAGGTGCCTTGCCTTTCTAGACCAAACAATTGTATACCTTACATGTATCGATTTATGTCTTTGACTGTAACTTCTGTTTTCCTAAAATGTATAAAATTAAGCTGTAACCCAACCATCTTGGGCACGTGTTCCCAAGACCTCCTGAGGTTGTGTTGCAGGCCATGGTCCTTAACCTTGGCAAAATAAACCTCAGACACTTTTTGGTTTGCTGTATCCATATCACATTTTCTTTATCCATTCATCTGTCGATAGGCATTTAGGTTGATTCCATATCGTGGCTGTTGTGAATAGTGCTGCAATAAACATGGGTGTGCAGATGTCTCTTTCACACACTGATTTCATTTCCTTTGGATGTATACCCAGTAATGAGATTGCTGGATCATATGGTAGTTCTATTTTTAATTTTTTGAGGAATCTTCCTACTGTTTCTCATAATGGCTGTACTAATTTACATTTCAACCGACAGTGCAAAAGAGTTTCCTTTTCTCCACATCTTTATCAGCATTTTTAATTTTTTGTCTTTTTGATAATAGCCAATCCAACTGGGGTGAGGTGATGTTCTGATTTCGATTTGCATTTCTATGATGATTAGTGATGTTGAGCATTTCCTTCGGGTATCTGTTGGTCATCTGCATGTCTTCCTTTGAGAAATGTCTATTCAGGTCTTCTGCCCATTTTTATAGGAAGAATATATTTTGGTGTTCTATTATACAGTAGGATGACTACAGCTAATAACAATATAGTGTATATTTCAAGACAGCTAGAAGATTTTTAATATTGTCACCACTAAAAATTGATACATCTTTAAAGGGATGGATATGGTAATTAACCTGATTTGATCATTTTACTATGTACACATACACTGAAATCTCACATTGTACCGCATAAATATGTACTATTATTATGTGTTCATCATAAATTTAAAAAATTAGTTTAAAAAATGGTTGATTATGCCAAAGATTTATAATGACTTTCTTTGACAAGCACTGATATAATGATAGAGATTCTTCTAATAAAGTATTTCATAATTAGGGAAGTTGTAATTTGCTAACAGAGCTCACAACAGCTGCCTGTGGAATAAGGCAATATGCTTTTCCTCTCCCTACTGGGCCTAATTCCCCAGTAACCTTATTGAAAATGTGCATGGGCTACAAAACTAAAGATTAACTGTCCAGGGACCTGCTTCCTGGAGCTTATTTGAAGATTAAATCAAATGGCAGACAATATATATTTGGTAATACGGCTTTGTTGCAGTCTTTTCCCATGTAGTGCCAAGTGTAATAGAAGGGGATGACACTTTATAGCTATTAAAAAAAGATTTTTCTAAATGTGAAATAGTTTTGTTCTCATGCTGAAATAGAAATGAATAATTTATTTCTTCATAACCAAAAGCATTTTCTGCTTTTTGAACATATAATAAAGACTCTCTAATTACAAATGTTCCATAATTACAAATTGTTCATTTTAAAAGGTGATTATTATTCATTATCTATTTATTTCATAACAAATGCCACTAAAGGTGTTAAAGATAAGTTTAAAATGCCAACTAAGATATTGCAACATTTTAAACAGAAAGCAGTTTAAATATATATTTTAAAACATAGCTTTTAGACTACACATTAATAAATGTATTTTTATTTAACAAATCATAGAACGATGGATGAAGACGTTCTGCTTTTAAAAATATTATATTTAGAATGCCTGTGCGGAGACACTGATGTGTGATTTGTCCTCATAGCAGACATCTGAAGAGCAAGTGACATTCTTACACAAAATCCATATTGGTGATGTATTTAATTACAGAGCTGATTGAAATTGACAGCTTTAGTGACCTGCGTTTGCACTTGTGGTGATTGATGTGTGCTTCAACTCTGGTTACTTTTAAACCAATTCACATATTGCTCAATACTATAATATCATCCTGTCAAATTGCAAACTGCATTTTTACAAGTGGGGAGACTGGAGAGAGTGCATGTTTAATTAAAATGAGATAGAGATGAATTGTCTAAAAACACCTATACAACTGTTAAACTGGGACCACTGTTATTTGAAAGCAGAGTGAAAGAAAATTCAATATACTTACAGGCATTTATGTTCCTGGAGTCATCTTTTCTCTTATAAAAATATACTTGACTGCTGTTCATGTAAGAAAGAGGTCCCAGAACCTTCTGCTGCTATCTCTAAAGCCTTACTTTCTTTGATATGGTGTCAGCCTTTAAAAATAAGTAAAACTCATGTCTTAGAACAGGAAGGGACATTAATGATGTTGTAACCCAAATCTCCTGTGTGTTTTTGTCTTGTTGTGTTTCTTTGTTACTCTCTCTGGCTAGATAGGTTCTACCCAGAGAGGTAACTTGTCTGTAGAGGTGCACAAAATTGGTTTTACTGCATAAAACTGGGGCTAGAATTCATATCTTTTCTGTTTCAGTTCAATGTACTTTTACACTATACAGAATCACCCTTTCTAGATAGTTTTCACTCTTTAACTCACTTTGTTGGCTACGGACATATTAGGATTACAGTCTTTACTATCAAATCATCCACTTAATTTAGGCAGTTTCAATTACATTTTAAATAACAGTAAAAAGAAGCTTTGATTGAATCTTGCTGTATACCATACTTTGAAATATATTCTTAACCTAAATTACATCTCACAACATATATGCAAGGTAGGTGATATTACTGCCAATTTACGGATGTGTGGTGAGACTAAGGAAGGCTCAGCAAACTTTACAAATGGCCTCAGGCCCTAGCAGATAAAATTTGAATCCAGTTTTGTTGAATACAAGGCCCACAACCATTCTTACCACACAATATTATTTTCTCATACCAGAAAAAAAAGTCTTAAAATAGACTTCTTGTCTTAAAATATCATTCTTGTCAGAATGATAAATAACTCTTGAAGGAGACTGTCACATATCTAATTGTTAAGAATAGAGATCCACAAACTTGGGTGGTTTAGATATATATCTTTCCGAAATGAAAGATTGCTGGATAGCGTAATCTCCAAAATCTCTTTCCCAGATGTGGAAATTTATGCCAGAATTAAATTTGTCACTTCATTGAAAGACACTAGTTTTAACAATGTTAGGGTCACTGGAAATTTTAAAATCATACAAACAAAATAGCTTAAATCACCATTCCAACTACTTAGGCAAGCCAGTTCCGTTTCCAACATTTCTTAGTTTCCTTAATATGTGATGAACTGGAGAGGAGTAAGCATAAATGTCCCTCCTGCCTTTATTGCCTCAAAATGTTTGCTCTCCTTTAATTCCTTATATGGCAACTCATCTCTACTCCAATTCATTCCACTCATAGACTTATGCTTTCTTCTTCATTCCTTAAACTATCATGAAAGGATATCACAATATGGCATAGAAAAATGGTACAACAAGGTAACCCAAAATTAAATATCAGAAACATTGCATATTTTAGCCTTTCCTGTGCCAGGTTCGACTGTTTCTATTTAGACTCTACTTGTCACTATTTTCTATATCTGTTAAGTACTCTTTTTCATGTTTCCAGCTCTTTGACTACTGAGTTTTTTTTAGTTTGGCTATAATGCAATGCCATAGGAAACACAAAATTCAGCATATAATTCATATATATGAAGCAAACTTTCTTTTTTTTTTTTTGAGATGGAATCTTGCTCTGTCACCAGCCTGGAGTGCAGTGGCACATTCTCGGCTCACTGCAACCTCCGCCTACCAGGTTCAAGGGATTTTCCTGCCTCAGCCTCCCAAGTAGCTGGGATTACAGGTGTGTGCCACTGTGCCCAGCTAATTTTTGTATTTTTAGTAGAGATGGGGTTTCACCATGTTGGCCAATGATCTTGATCTCTTGACCTCATGATCTGCCCCCGTAGGCCTCCCAAAGTGCTGGCATTACAGGCGTGAGCCATCGTGACTGGCCAATTGTTTGATTTCTTATCAAATCAATTATATATAAACATTATTAAAAATTGTAGACTAAAAATAAAAGTATATTTCTTATCTTTCCTCAAACTCTCCTATTCCCCTTAGAAAATACTTAACAAATAAAAAAGGTTATCAACCCAAAAAATAGAAAAAATAGGGAGAAGTCAGCAGATAATATCAACAAATTTTTAGAAGATGCAAAGAAAATAAAAGGAAAAATAGGTGAAGCCAAAGAATATACAAGAGGTAGGCACCCACATAAGACATGCAGATTTAAACCACTGATCTCTAAGAGTTTAAGAACTGAAAAAACCCACTCTCTGAAACATAAATGAGTAGGGGGATCAAGTAGTGTTCCATTTACAGAATAAGGCATTTTAAGCAATAAAGGATTTAATATAGGACATTAGTTTTTTTAAAAAGCTATTGAAAGAGCTGATAGATAGCTTCTGGACCGGCTCTTCCAAAAGATGAAAAGAGCAATACAGACCAGAAACCCTAAAGAGATTACTTCTAAGTGGCTGTGGAGTTTTGAAATTTAGAAGTTACCCATATTGCATTTTGTAATCATGCTATAACTGCTGCTTCATACTTAGGAATCTAGAGAACAGACCGTGGAATTCCACTGAATTCTAAGTCATGTAAAGAACACTAGCAGAAGGAGGGTTTGATGATATTAGGTGCAATCCACAATGTTTCCCTCAGTAGGAATGAGGAACAAGATTAAAAACATGTCCATTAAAATCTCATTTTTTCCCTCCTTATCCTCGGAATCCAGGTGATAACTCACTGTGTACTCAAACAGGAGAAGAAACATTTGTTTTTCTGGATAAATTTATCATAGGATACTTGACACCAGGTGCAATGAATGACAAGAGTGAGGCATTGTACTGGAAACAGAGGAATCAAATACAGAGAATGATGAAACTTTCACCCCCCTCTTAACAAAGAAAAAGCAGACCATGCATAAGAGGGTTAAAGGTGTAAGAATTTGAATTATAGTTGCTATGGACTGAATGTGTCCTTCAAAATTTATGTGTTGGAAACTCAATCCCTAATGCAGTCATATTGGGAAATTAGGCCTAATGGGAGGTGTTCAAGTTGTGGGGGTTCTGCCCTTGTGAATGGATTAATGCTACTATAGAAAGGGCTTAAGGGAGTTGATTCTCACTCTTCTGCTCTTCTGTCATGTGAAGAAGAAAGTGTTTCCCTTCCAGAGGATGCAGTGTTCAAGATTCCATCGTGGAAGCAGAGGCTTAAACCTTACCAGACTTCAGATACTGGCACCTTGATCTTAGACTCCTCTGCCTCCTGAACTTTGAGAAATAAATCTCTGTTCTTTCTTTTCTTTGAGATGAAGTTTTGCTCTTGTTACCCAGGCTGGAATGCAACGACAGGATCTTGGCTCACCACAACCTCCACCTCCTGGGTTCAAGCAATTCTCCTGCCTCAGCCTCCCGAGTAGCTGGGACTACAGGCGTACGCCACTATGCCCAGCTAATTTTTGTATTTTTAGTACAGACAGGGGTTTCACTATGTTGACCTCGTGATCTACCCACCTCGGAAATTTCTGTTCTTTCTAAATTACCCAGTCTGTAGTATTCCGTTATAAAAGCACAAAACAGACTAAGACAATGTCAGCATTCTCAACTCAACCTTGGAAGCTAGGTACCAAAGGAACATTGACAGCAAGCAATTTCAATATAAATTTCTATAAGCAAACTATCAAAATATGAGGTTAATATAAAAGTAGTTTCAGACATAATACCTCTTTTAAAAAGGCTATGAGTGACTCTCTTGGAATTCCTGCTAGCTTAGAGAGAAATGAGACTAGATTGAAACAGAATGATAGTACCCCAGGTATAAGAAAAAGATGAGGGAATAAGGTAGGGTGAGGGACAAGAAGGAAGAGAATGAAAAAATAATAAGAGGAAAGTGATAGATTACCTGATGTGCTGAGAAGTATTAAGATTCTGTAATTTTGTCAGCACATTTGAAAACATTTAATAAGAGGTATGTAGAAATGATGCAGAAAAATTCAAAGTATATTTTTATCATCAAGTAAAACTAAGTATGTAAAGTATATATGTCACAGATATTTTATGTCCAAATAATAGTTAATAGTCTTAATTATGCAAATCTTAAGTATTTATTGTAAAGTAATAATGACATTTTTCATATTGAGATTTAAAGAAGTGAACTATGCACACACATATAGAGATATATAATTGTTAGATTCTGTATTCATTTCAAAAATTTTACCATTATATAATGATGATATTTCAAAGAATCCACACTTAAAAATTATAGAGAGAGTATAGTTGTGTTACTTTTACATACATAAATCAATACAAATATTGAAGACTAAAGGTTGAATTGTATTGTATCCTGGGAGTAGGCTGTGGTGAGGAAGTATGTCAGAGGCAGTGGTATTTTGTTGTAAATCTTTTTAAATAGATGGATTTTTAAAATACATAAAAACTTTACTTAAACTATGCTTTAATTGTACAGAAAGTACTACAAATTCATTGAAGAACAGCTGGAAAATACAGACTTCTTTGTGTGTGAAAGAGCACACTTTCTTGGGAAGTAGAGTGGTTAACAGTGACCAACAGACCAACGCCACCCACTGGGCACCTACACATCTTACTCCAAAAGACACAAAGGATGTTTCACTAATACAAATCAAGGGGAACACAGATTCCTCTCGGCAACTCCCCCAACCACATCCCTTTCAGGAGATGGGAAATCTCCCAACCATTTCCTGATGGCAGCAGTGATTCACTAGAGATAGATCACCTTCCTGTTTCTTACAAAGAACATTTTCTTTAGATTTTTTGGAGTCTTCATTTGTTACTTTTATTCTAAGTCCTCTTACGGCCATCAGACCAGCATTTGTACAGATTGCCTTGATGTCAGCACCAGAGACATCATGTTTAGCCATGATCAAGCAGCCCAGGGTTACATCATTGCCCAAAGTGATCCTGCTTGTGTCAATCTGAAAGATGTACTTCTCAGTCTTTTCATCAGGCAGAGGGACCTTGATCTTTCTGTCAATGCAGCCTGGTCTGATAAATGGCAGATCCAAAGTTTCTATTTGGTTTGTGGCCATGATAGCTTTCACATCTCCCCTAGAATCAAATCCATCCAACTGGTTCAACAGTTCCAACATGATTCACTGAATTTCTCTCTCACCACCAGAATTCGAGTTATATATTTTTGTCCTAGTGGCATCAATTTTATCAATAAACATGATGAATGGTGCATGTTCTTCAGCAACTAGAAATAATTCCTGTACGGGTTTGAGTCCATCACCTAAGTACTTCTGAATATGTTCAGAGCCAACCATTCTCAAGAAAGAGGCTGAGGTTTGGTTTGTTGCTGCTTTAGCTAACAAGGTTTTACCTGTGTCCAGTGGACCAGAGAGAGTGACCCCCTTCAGAGGCTTTATACCAATCTCTTCATAGGATTCAGGATGGGTGAGAGAAGCTCTACAGATTCCTTAAGTTCCTGAATTCAGTTGTCCGGCCCTCCCCCCATTTTATCAGCATAGGTCTCCTGGGGGCCTTTTCCACCTTCATCACTGCGACCAGGGGATCTGTGTCATCCATCAGCGCTCCTATCATGGCATGCACCTTGTGGTTGAACAGGACCAAGCCAGGTTTCAGCA